TGATGCTAAGATTACAACTCTTATTCATGTTTGACAGTTCACTGTTAGAAGGCAGTCTGCTGTGTATCTACAGTATAGAGGAACTATGTAAAGGATTATTGGATTCTTCAGGCTTTCTCAAATTGAAGGTTTGTGACAACCCTGTGTTGTCAAATGATGGTTAGCATTTTTTAGCAATAAAGTATTTTTAATTAAGGTATGTATATATGTATATATCTTTTGAGCAGTCCAAATTAATATTTTTAAGGCACTGCTACTATATTCTTTTTTAGTTCCTATTGCTTAGAGTAGTCTGCTATGTGTTGAGTACAGTGCTAGGTCCCAGATAATTAGATGGATGGATAGATGGGTAGATTGATTTTTTTTTTTTTTAATGAACAGTACCACTGTGGCAAACTGTTCTATGGTGTGAATACTATAATAAAGATTTCTTCTAGGAGGAGTTTTCTTTTTAGTGCCTTAAAGACACTAAAGGTCTGTTTGCCAATTAATAGTTCAGGATGCCTATGCACACACACATACGTGCGTATTCCAACATACACTGTCAATGTGATCAGTCATTATTTAAAATATTATCTAAACCATTGAAACGGAAGTTTACCTATAACAACATAAATTCCACAAAAGAGAAGTTTTGCATCTAAAATGCATTGCAAAAGGAAATCTTTTTTAAAGATACTTTCCTTTTTTTGCCTTGTGGCAAGGCTATCTGTATTTTGTTTCTGTAGACTCAATTCCCCTGTATTATAAATTCCCCTTGATGCCTCTGACTTCAGAGTATGTCAACAGATGTTGCTTTTGGAGACTAGGAAAGCACTCACTCATCAGTCATTTGAATAACACAACTCTCTTACCTAGAAGTGGGTGAATGTTTCATTATGTACCCTATGCTAAGAATCATTTTTAGGATTTACTATTTAAGTGGCTGTTTTCATTCCAGTAGTAAATTGATGGTGAGTTTCTGGAAGTGTTACAATATTTACATAAATTTTGGTGTGTGTAACACAGATTTTTTGCCATATTTAACTCCTCCTCAGTTCAAAACTTTATAAATGAGCCTACAAATTTTAGTTCAAAGAAGAGTTAAGTAAGATCTCATAAATTTTTCTCTTAGGTTTTTCTCTCTTTTTGTAATTTCTTTATTAGTCAGCAGAATATGACTCAATGGGGAATAGACTGATATTCACAAAGAGAAAACTTGGGAAGTTTGTTGCAAAGGAAAGTAAAGCAGATGCCCCACTAATGATCCTGACCTCTAAATAGTTAGCAGGAGCAGCCCTCAAGCTTCCTAAATACAGGGGCTCTATAAATACAGGGTCATTATACAAAGCACTTCAGGATAATTAAGAAATACTGTATTCTTCCATGTTCTTAATTTTTTTTCTAGATTTACTTTCCAAAAGCAACTTTATAGTAACTTTTAAGTTTGCAATATGTTTTTAAGTTAACATATTATCAGCCTAATTTTTAATGTATGTGTGAGATTCTTCTAGGTTATTAACCTAAAAACACAATACAGTAAGATAAATTATTGTCCTTCTTTTAGCTACCTATAAAAAGTCCCTTAAAATATTCTTTATTATGTGACTGTGTATATACATGCACATATAATCCTTATCCATATTCCATTCAAAAAGGTGATTCATTTAGCTAATCCCATTAAAAGGGTGCAAAATGAGGCTCATATAAGATGGGCCACCCTATATACTTTCCAGCTTAAATGGTAAAAATTTCCAGTACTCCAACCTAATGTTCACAGGGCAGTGAGAGTTACTACATAGCAAATAAGAAAAATAATGAATAACACGTGCAGAAACTGCAGCCAAGATAATATCTGAAAAGCATATTGCACTCAGTGTACTGCTAGGTTGTATCACAAAGGACCACCCTCTGTTTGTGGAGCGCAGGGAAGAAAACGACTCTATAGCAAATGTTGGATGTGTAGTCCTTTTCCGCAGAGGCTCTGACTTCTTCCAAAGAAGAAAGAGCAACAGTGGAAGAGAAGAGAACCGTGAATAATTTAAGTCCTGATGCAGACCCATGGGTGGTTAAAAAAAAAAATCTAGGGTAGAAAACAGCACTTTTATGATGTCCCTGAGTTATGCGTTGGATCACTATTGATATTTGTAAAAATTTAGGTTTTAGATACTCTCAACCATGGATGTGTGGTTCTTGATAGACATTTGAAAGAATTAACTTGTGTGGTAAGGTTGTTCTAGACTATTCTGGAAATTGTACAAATATAGAAACAAGTTTACAAAAGTCAAGAAAGTAAACTGGGCTGGAAGGACATTCTTTAGTGCATGCCTGCACTCTTGCTTCCATGAGTCGACTTGGTGCTTACTGGGAATCTGGGGGTGTTTGTTCCTTAATCTGTTTATTCCTGTTGTACTTCTTAAAGTATTCATCACTGAATTAAATGTTTCATAAGCCACCAAAAAATAATCTAACCAAAATTGTTGCTAGGAAAACCAGATATAATGTTCTAGAAAGACTTCTTGAGTTGCTGGAAAAAATTGCTGTTGAATCTAGGGATAAGATAACAGTAAACTGGGTGGAGAGCATCATTATATTGTAGTTTCCACTAAATGAAACAAGCCATGGATTGTGCCTCATGAGTGAGGTTTCTGTAAGAAAAATATGCAGAATTTCAAACACAAACCCCTTTGCAACGTATGGTTCTTTGCCCTACACCACAAGCTTATACATTTATATTTTGAGTTAAATGTTTTAAGTACGTATATTTTATGAATTCTCACTTAAATCTGACATCTTTGTTTAGCAACCAACTACTATTTCAAACCCATCAGATACCAGGGCTTCTACTGTTTCTTGAATCTTCTTCCAACCCAGTTGTCTACTTGTATCTTGATAATGGAAGCAGATACCCTTGCTCGTGGCAGTTGCAATGTAATTTTGGGAAGTTTCTCACTACATCATTGTCTTCTAAAAAAAAAAAAAAAAAGGCATTGTTTTTGCCTAGGGAATTCATACTCTGCTTTTAACACCTGAGTTAGCCACATCCATAGAGTTGGTAAAAATCCTCAGCCAATTTTAATTTGGGGGCATTGAAAATTGCAGTGTCAAGCAGAGAAAGCAGTAGTTGGTTGTAATAGCCATGAAAAAAGAAAACAAAGTTTAATCCAGCTTTTTTCTGATGCTTCTTTAAATCATTAATATTAGCTCACCGTGCAGAGATTTTATCCTTTATTACACATTCAGTTTATGAAAAAAAAAACAAAATAAATACCAGTGTTTCCCATGATCCCATGGTTTGACTTCACAGTGTACTTACATTGTGAGCCTGTTAAGTTGTAAAGGGAATTGGATAAATGTTTTCAAATGCTTCTCTCTTTTCATGCCCATTTCCCATTTGCTTTTTAGATCATTTCTTGGTGAGAATTCTTTTTTGACATTTACTAAATGTCAGCTATAGTCCATGTTTAAAACATTGGCCTAGAGCCAGTGGGCTAACCAATTTATATTAGCCTGTTAAGAAAAATTAAATAAAATGTGAAAATGAAATGAAAATTGCTTTGAAGAAAAATGAGGGCTGACAGTGAAAAAGCCCATTAATGGCCTGATACTCATCCATTCTTTTGCTGTATTCACAGTTGTGTCATTTTGTGCTGTTGTCATTTTGTGCTGTTGCTGTTCTTCCAAGGGAAGAATTAAAAATGATTCTTTCATATCGCAGCCATTTATTGAGTACCTACTCCAGATCAGCGCTAAGAATACAAAGATGAGGAGCCTGGTTCAGTCTGCAAGCAGCTCACAGTCTAACACAATGATTCTCAAACTCAGAGCAGATCTGTTCTTGGCTGAAGGCTTTGAGAAGGGCAGCTGGACCTCCTGAAGGCACATATTTGTGCAGAACATCCACTGCTAGGAATTTTCCCTAAGGAGATAATCAGGGAAATGTGCAAAGTTGGATTGAGTCTTTCAGAGTCATGATCTTCATTTCTAAGTTGAATAATAAATGATTTACCAGATGTTCCAGCGGATACTTACTGTACTTAACCTTGATAAAGAATTTAGTCTGGGTTATTGCTCTTGTCCACTAACATTGTGTATATTAGTTGTTTCTCAGTAGTTCATTACTATCTTAATAGTTTACTGAGCCAGATCACTGTTCAGTTTTTCTTTCTTTCTCTCTAATCGCCAAGATAGCATGGATACTAGATTAAGTTAATCACGCCGATGCATATTCTGTCATTGAACTCTTCTGTGAGTGTCATGGTTACTATTTCTCAAATTGCGTTTAAAAGTTTGTGATAAGTTGCTCCAAAGTTAATACCAAATATGATTTTGGTATGGATGCTGGTGTTCTCTTTTCCTGGTCCACCTTTGTATCAAAGGTTACTTGATTCTACTTGGCCATGGTTAGTAGCTTCGGAAGAAAATTGAGGCACATGAGCTATGTAATCAAGCGCTTGCTATTTACTTTGGTTGATTCACCGGGGTGGCTGACAGCAAGTTGAGAAGTTAGCTAATTCCCTACTGTTAATTTAAGTTGTTTTAAATGTATAGTATATCATCTAAGATCAGCTTATGGAGGCTCAAAACTTTTATTTTCAAGGTATAGGAGAACAGTTAGTGTTTGGACTACCATTCAACAGCCTTTCTGGCTTTCTTTTTCATTCAAAAGTGAAGAATTAGAAGTTCTGATATTATTTGTTAGGAAGTAATGGAATTTCTGAACTCAAATGTCATTTTTTAAAACAAATTTATGCACACATTTTGGGAAACTAGTACTTAACAAGGAATTGTAGCTTCTGTCTGTCACCTAGAGGTTTGCTTCCAGGCCTTTATTTTTCCCTTAAAGTGGCAAACCAGGCTAACAGAGAACTAAACATTTGTAAACCCAAGACTCTTCCGTGATGATTTTTTAGAGACCTATTCATTTGTCTCTTCTGCTGCTTTTATGCTTCAAGACAATGACATCTTAAAATTCCTTTTTTCAAAAAACAAAATTGATTAATAATTTGTTCTAATTTAAGGGTTTCTCCTCTTCAAAAATCTGAAGTTGTTGAGATGGTTAAGAAACAAGTTAGAGTCATAACACTTGCCATTGGTGATGGAGCAAATGACGTCAGCATGATACAGACGGCACATGTTGGAGTTGGAATAAGTGGCAATGAAGGCCTTCAGGCAGCTAATTCTTCTGACTATTCCATAGCTCAGGTAAAGCATCATTTCTGTGAAACACACTGTTTGTCTCTGTCAACTGACACTATGAAGAGGAAAATACTAATTTTTTTTCCATTCTTATCTTAGTTCAAATATTTGAAGAATTTGTTGATGGTTCATGGCGCCTGGAACTATAACAGAGTCTCCAAGTGCATTTTGTACTGTTTCTACAAGAATATAGTCCTCTATATTATTGAGGTAATCCCAAGTTCAGTTTAAAAATCCTTGTCATTTGCATATATATTTGAAACTTTTTTTTGTGAAGACATTTCCTTATCATTTTAACGAATCCTTCATTTGCCCACTTTTTATAACTTCTAAATATGTTAAAACAAAAAGTTCGTCAGCCATGGGGAATAATGTTGACATTGTGGCTAAAAACATATTGCTTTGGTAAGAAATGATGAATTACAATTGCTAATGAAGTAATGTGTTCGGCTTTTAAAAGACTACAAACTATGTAGCATTTTTTTTTATAAAGTTCAAAAACATATGAGAGAAGACAGTACACTGTTTAGGGATGTACACAAGCAAAACTGTTTAAAAAGAAAAGGAATGGAATAGTGGACATAAAACTGAGGCTGTCAGTTCTACTAAGGGGTCTAATCAGGAAAAATACATGGGTAGTTTTGCTAATATTGGTCATCTTGTAGTTCTTATTATGTTTCAGACTTACGTAATTATATACAAGTATTATTGCTGTTCGGGCCTGTTTTGGTTTCTGAGTTTGGTAGGTAACAAGAGTCTAGATAATGAGGAATTTGTCTAAAAATTATCAGAATAATTCAGTTCCTGTGTCAAAGGAATTTCTATATGCCTTTTCATGTAGAAACATAACATCATTTTTTAACATGAAAAGTTAACCTGGGTCAGGAATATCACTTTTAAAAGGATGCATTTTGTTTTGCAAACATGTTTGCAGTACCTGCTGGATGCCAGGCACCAGGCTTAGTTCACCAAGTATGAAGTAAATCAAGCAAGGTTCCTATCCTCCAGAAGCTTGCCAATAGAAATGTAAAACAAGCCACATGTGTAATTTTACACTTTCTGGGAACCACATTAACAACAAGTAAAAATTAAAGCCCAAATTAATTTTAAATTATATTTCATTTAACTCGATATACTCAATAGTATTATTTCAACATGGAATCACTATAAGAGATTATTAATGCAATATTTCACATTCTTTTCTTCATACTAAGTATTCACAATCTGTTGTGTATTTTACCATGCAGTATATCTCAGTTTGGACTAATCACATTTCCAGTGTTTAAGAGCCACATGGCCAGTGGCTACCCCCCTGGATAGCACAGCACCAGTAGATGAATAAGTAAACTGAACACTCAGGATGTGATAAATAAGTTATTTATCTTTTTTTCTTAACATATGACCATTTTATCATCAGAAGCTGTATTTGTAATACTTAAACTCTAGGTGTTACCAGTTTCTTTCTCCTCTTGCAGCTTCACAAAGCATGACAATGAGCTCTCCATAGCTTGTTAAGAAAACCCTCCATCTTCCAGTCCTGTCAGAGGAACTGCCTACACCCTCATAAATCTGCCCTGGGGTCCCTTACAGATGTTTGTTTATGCCACCTTGCCCTCTACTCTGTTGACTGTTTCTACACATCTATCAGAAGAGACACAACCTGACCATATACCATGTGGAAATAATATCCCTTACTTCACACCACAGAAGTAACACCATAAACAAAACAATCAGTAGACTCCACATTTCCCTTATTGATACATTAGTTGGGAACTGCTGTATATTTGCTTCAGCTGTTCTTTATGCCTCTGAATGTTTATCTCCTTAGCAAGATGTTGATTGAGCATAGTTCTTATTATGAGTCAGACTAATAAAACTTAGTTTTGAAGTGTGCAGGCAGTTTTATTTATTGGTCACTAAAAATCTATAATTAGGTTGCAACCCATTAGATAAAATAAACACTTTAAATACTTGGAAACATAAATAAGATAATCTGTGAATTTACTTATTGTTCATTACTGCTGAATTTGGTCTGGAATAGTCTGTGTTTTGAAGCAAACTGCACTTCCAAAATAGCTTATGAGATCATACAAAATATTGTTTTTGTTTATATAAATTTGTGATTATTTTCTAATATAATTATTTGTAATTCCCAGTCCTAACTTTTCTAGTTATATTTTCTTCTCATCCCAAAACATTGACATTCAAAAGAATATCAATTTATACAGTTTATTTACATATACTCTTGAAGGTACGAGGAGTTTAAAGCCACTGGCAGCAACAAATCTGCTTACAAAATATTAATTTTGTAAAAAGAAATAAGAGTACTCAACTTGCCACTTCTTAAGTCTATTTGACAATCAACAATGAAGTGGTCAAAATTATGTCTAATGGGAGAAATAAAATATATTAAACTCAAATGAAAAACTAAATCTGCATGCTCTGTTTCAAATCCAGAGTTATGTGATTTGTGGTTGATTAGCCCTAAATTTTACTAGGCTTTGAATTTAAAGCCTCTTCGAGAGATATTTAACACTGATCAGATTCTATACATGTTGAAAGGGAAGTAAGTCCTAAACTTTACTGGAAATCTCATTCTTAAGTTATTTTTCTTTTAACAGTTTATGGAAATGTATTTTGAATATAATTCAACTATCTTGGAAATGAATTGACCTCTTAAATCAATTCCCAGATACCCAACTTTTGCCAGCTAAAACAAGTTCTGCAGATGTTAATGGCTCATGTCAATACTGTGAATGAATAGACAGAAAATACATCATTGAATGTCTCTAGTGAGGACAACTGCCAGTCTTGAATCTCCCCTTTCAGTTTTTTGTGCTGTTCAGGCGTGGGAGCAGAATACTTACTGACTATTTGTAAGCTGCTGTTTAATATGCAGAAATGCTCCATCGGGGAAATGTCTGTGAAGTTTTAACTGCTACGCCTCTACTAGGACATGGAAGTTAGAAAATAATACCAGGACAGGAAGGTCTGAAGTTTCCTTGGTAATAAAGGAATGGTATGGAATGCTATGGGTTTTATAGATTATCTGCAAAAACTACTTTTGCCATTGCCATACTGCTAGGAATGTCACTATCTAGCTACTCCATTGCCATAAATTACAGTCAAACAAATGAATAGAGATTTGGCAGGTGGCAGTATAAAGCACTTGCTTATGGTGGCTGCCCAGCAGCAACCCTAGGTGTTCATTGAAATTACTGACATTTTCTAAAGAGATTTTTTTTTTTCAATTTCTCTGAAACATCTGACTCCTTCCTAGCAAAATAAGACCCTTTCTTTCAAATAATCAGTCACATCCACGTTTTCCAGGAAGATCCCAAAGCAATGTAGCGTTTCTAATTTCCAGAAGCTTTGATTAAAGTCAATGAGGTGATACTTTCCCAGCAAGTTGTGCTGGGATATGGATTTCCTGTGACTTTAAATAATTTAGATACCTCCCCAGAGGGGCTGATGTTTTCTTTCTGCATCCATGATTTTGTTGAGTCAAAGGAGGGACTTTTATGTGTTTATAGTAATTTAGGTATTGTTTTATTAAGTATGGGATGCATTTCTAATATATCTTTTAACTACAAATCTCAGACTAACTTGAAATCAGCCTTCTGGTAGACTTCTTCACTGTTAAAAAACCTCTTCCTTTAAGATATGTAAACTTCAATGCCAGAATATTTGTATGAAGATGTGTACTATATTGGAAGGATCAATTCCTATCTAGTCATTTCTCCTTTTAAAAAAAAAAAAATTAGAATATCAACTTTCTAAAGTACAGGAAGAGTATTTCTAGAAACATGGTCACATACCTTTCAGTAGGAAAAATGAAATGGTAAAAATGTGTTGATAGCTTTCCACTTAAAAATGTGTGCATTTCTCTCATAAAGCCTTCAAGTGGTGCATTTTAAAATAAACTTGGACTGCGAGCATGCTGGTTTATTTGCAAGTTATTTTGAACTGGAAATGTTATGTAAATATCCATTGATTTGAGAGAGATTCCTAAATTTCAAGCTCATAGTGGTGTTTTAATCAGCACCGAAAGTTACGTACAAAGAGGCCAGGAGACCATTCACATTTACAAATGTTTATTAACACACACATTTATTAACATAATGCAGTATTGATGATTACAAATGCATTTATAACTATAAGCTTTGAGCCAATTCATGCCCATTAGAAGAATTTGGTATGCATGCAGCTTTGGCTTTCTTCAGACCAACGAAGATTAGACTGTATCTTCTTAGACTACTAAGGCCATAACTGAAAGTTTGTGTTTAAAAATTCTTTATATTACTATCATACCCTAAGAAATCTGAATACCACAGTAGATCACAGTCGCCTTCAGGGAGAACATTACCATCACCCAGAGCATCACAAATATGTATTTACATAATCCACATCTCAAAAAGGCCAAGTGTGAAAACACAATAGATAGCGTTGAAGTCTGTCTTGTCAATTTGTGTCTACTTAATGCTTTAAAAAAAAAAAAAGTTTAAAGTCGGCAGCACCCCCAGGAATAAATTTAACTTCATGTGAAGATGCTAAGTTCTTTTAAAGTTTGCATGTAGCAGTGAATGATCTGGCTCCTAGCAGAGGGCACATGTTCAAATTTTTTCTGTAAATATATGTAGCAAAGCAAGTAAGAATTTCAGATTCACCTCTGATTTCTATGCTTTTGTTCTTTTTGTTGTTAATGTGTGTTACAAGCCTAACACAATTTGGACTTATTTTTCATGTGCTATTGCTACTTTGTTCTCTTTTCCATCTCATGAAGCCCACATTGGTTTTTATATAGGCTCAGTCATTCCTTTCCACTATAAAAAGGAAAAAGATCAATGTGGGTACAGAAACTGTTCATAGGGAGGCCAGCCTGGGTACATATTGATAAATGGTGAATTTGTAGCAATTCATCTTCCATAATGAGGTTAAATGAAACGTGAAGTGTAGCAAAGTCCCTGCAACTCCAATTCAAAAGTTCACTTGACCAGAGTGTCCAGACTGCTGTCCCCTAACTGGTTTTCGGTTGTTGTTGTTATGTTTTGGCTTTGTGTTTGTGTTTATATAATCTCATTGTTGGACCAGACATTTTACTCTTCCAGATTAATGTGATTTTTTATTACATTTTATGTCTGCTTTTTAAAAAAATAATTCAGGGATTATTGATTTACTGATATTCACTTTAATTTTCCATTTGTCTTAAACATGCTGGAGAAAGTTTCCCTATATTGCCCCTTAATTTTGTAGCCAAAGTTAAGCTTTCTGTTTTTAAGAGAACTGCAAAATGTATAAGAACGTGTTGCTCTATTAAAGATTTGTTTTTAATCAAAGCATAAATTTAAACTACAAAATATTTTTATATAAAGAAGCACATTTATTATATTAAAAAATATATTTTTAATGTATAAATTCAAATTTTGCATTCTGATGGCTATAATTATCAAGAACCATAAAAAAAAAAAGTTATGTTCTTTGACCCATTAATTCTACTTCTAAGAATTCATCCTAAAAGGAAAAAGAAAAAAGGACATGAGGAAATTTTGGAGGTAATAGATATGTCTGTTACCTTGATTAGGTGATGGTTTCATGCATGCATGCATATGTCCAAACTCACCAAATTGTATACATTAAACGTGTGTCATTTTTGTATGTCAATTATGCCTCAATAAAGCTATTTTTATTAAAAAATAATTCATCCTAAGAAATAGAGATGTTTAGGATTTCTGTACAAGAATATTCAGTTCAGAATTATGTATAATAGCAAAAACTGGAAGCAAGCTAAATATCCAAAATTAGTTATAGCCACACTGTAGGGGATATATGTCCATTAACATCATTTTAAAGGACATGTAACAACTTAAGAAAAATGTGTATTATATAACGTTAAGGAGAGGAGCAGGACATGACACTACATACAGCTTCCCAGTAAGATAAATCTATGAATATGAGCTACTACATGAATACAACCAAAGTGGAAGAAAATAAATGGTGATGATATTATTATAGGAAACTATTTTATTTTATTTTCTAAATAAACAAATTTTTAATTATAATGAAAACAACAATAATCTTTAAATAGCTATCAGAAGGTAGATATTTTAAAAGGGAATTAAAGCTCTAAAATTTTAATTGCATAAAATATAAAATATATTCTCGAAAGTGCCTTTTAGGAAACAAGGTTATATCTAATTTTTTTTATAATCTGTGATTTCCCATTGATATAGTTCTTTTTTGATTCAACAAGTGGAACCAATTCTGACTTAAATAGCAAAGACCTTACGAAAGAATCCCTTCAAATTAAAAAGCAAACCAAAAATAAGCCATTTTCAAGAGAGTCGTGAAAATACTATGTCAGTGAGGCTTTTATGCAGTGGTTGAGTATACAGCAGATTCTAAGCAATGAATTTATGGTTTTTGTGTTCTAATTTGGGGGGTTTGGAATTGTTTTCTTCCTAGATCTGGTTTGCCTTTGTTAATGGCTTTTCTGGACAGATCCTCTTTGAGAGATGGTGCATAGGTCTTTATAACGTGGTAAGTTTAGGACTTTTTATTATTCCTGTTCTATTGAATACTTTGAGATAGACGTTCACCCTGCGTTTGGCTGCCTGGTATAATGACGAGTTTGTGCACTTTAGATGTTTACAGCAATGCCGCCCTTAACTCTGGGAATATTTGAGAGATCATGCAGAAAAGAGAATATGTTGAAGTATCCTGAATTATACAAAACATCTCAGAATGCCCTGGACTTCAACACCAAGGTAGGAACCAGTGCCCTGGTGGGACTTGCTTTACTGCTTCAATTGCTTGGGGCATTGGATCTTCTAAAGCCAAGGAAACAACTCCAGGGTCCTGACCATGGCAGGTCAGATTTGCTTAGGGTTCTGATATGGACTGAGAAGTTGTTTTGTTTTGTTTTGTTTTGCTATAAATTTAAACTGTAGCCACAATTCACTGGGGTTTGCCAGGCAGCAGTAAACTGGGTCTAGCAGGCAGAAGAGGTGCCCCTTTGGCCCTCTGACTTTCTGTCTTTGAAGTGTTCTGGGGCAATGGTCACTCCTCACAGGGGTCAGTACTGCAGGACTGACAAGGACTGTCCTTACACATATAAAGTGGTGAGAGGTGGCTTCCCCTGAGCTTGTGCGTCCGGAGCCTGTGCTCCGCAACGGGAGAGGCCACGACAGTGACAGGCCTGAGAACTGCAAAAAAAAAAAAAAAAAAGTGGTAAGAGGTAATATATCATTCTTTTCTAATTTTCTGTTTTATGGAATAACCTTGTCCTTATTGGAATATTAGGTTGTTTGTATTGGGCATTGAAAATATAGTCTCTGGTAGATAACTCAGCCATAATACTCAGTATTTCCAAGACATAAAATTTAATACAAGATTAAATATCCAACACTTTATCTAAAATCATATTCCGTGTTTACGTCCTACATAACAAGCCATGGGCTCCTGTCATCTTTGTGATCCATGGTATTTCTTCATCTCAGCAACAAAAATATCTAATTTCCTGAAGAGTTTACTTTCCTGCAATCATTTATTCTAAAATGTTTCCACTAGTATGTTAGTAATTTGTGTTTCTATCCAGTGTAAGGGAGGAAAAAAATTTTTTTAATTTTATAACAGTCAAGGTGGATGCCGTTTTGAAACGATAATAAAAGTATCAAATACACCTTCACAGAATTTTTCCCAGTCAGTATAGTGCATGTTTATTATGTTATGCATGTTATGTTACTAATAATTACATGTAACCTAAATTCAGTATTTTGAATTTAGGAAATTAATGTAGGATATTTTAAATATTATTTCATAAAATTCTCAAATGACATTTGTTCTCAGTATATCAAGGGAATAGAGTGAAACAGGTGTGTCAGTGCCTCTAACCTCATACAGTAAATGATGATGTTAAGTTTACCACCAGGATGTTACTCATCTTCTGAGATGAGGTCTTCAAGAATGCACTGTGCACAGTGTGTCCAGGTGTGCAGATGCATACAATTTGAGGGCATGGTTTTAAACAACTGAATTTGGTGAAATTAAAAAAAAAAAACAAAAACTAAAGCATTCTTTGACTTACACCATTGGTTCTAAAAAGTATTTTTAGTGGTCTCTTAAAACCATTGCTATTTATAATATGCAATGTCTATGCTCTTATTTTTAAATGTTTTATTTTTTGATTCTTTAAAACTTAATTTTGATGTCCAGTTTGTATTAAATTCCACTGCCTTGCCGTAACGTTTTTCATTACCTATGGTGAGTATTTTCAAGTGACGGAAAGCCACATCGGGGCAGATACAATGGACCATGAGCTCTTATTTCCTTGAAAATGTAATCTGAGAGCTAGGAAAGTTCCAGGCCTACTGGCATGCTAACAGTAATCCTCACCGACCCAGGCAGTTACATCAACCTCAGTCACACTTCCCCATCTCCCGTAGCTCAGGCTTCACGGTGCTCTCTCGAGAGTTAACTTCCCAGCCACTACCTTGGCCGTGGTACTGTTGCTTGTAAACATAAACTGATCCTCACAGGATTACCCAAAACCACCCCTAGAGGGACTTCCCTGGTAGCACAGTGGTTAAGAATCCACCTGCCAGTGCAGGGGACACGGGTTCGAGCTCTGGTCTGGGAAGATCCCACATGCCACGGAGCAACTAAGCCCTGTGCACCACAACTACTGAGCCTGTGCTCTAGAGCCTGTGAGCCACATCTACTGAGTCCACATGCTGCAACTGCTGAAGCCTGTGTGCCTAGAGCCCATTTTCTGCAACAAGAGAAGCCACCACAATGAGAAGCCCGCACACCGCAACAGAGTAGCCCCTGCTCACCACAACTAGAGAAAGCCCGCGTGCAGCAATGAAGACCCAATGCAGCCAACAATAAATAAATAAATAAATAAATAAATAAATAAATTCAGTAAAAAAAAAAAAAAACTGCTAGAAAGACATCCTTTCATGCCCTTTGCGTATGGCGACTTGGAAACAGCTTTGTGGCCAGTGAAAAAGTGTAACAGGTCATATATAGTTTTAATGTGTGAGCATCCTTCCTTGTACTTTTTGCTGTTCTTTTGTTGTATACAAAGTATTTCACTGTCTGCAAAGCCCATGCATTTAGAAAAGTCACCAGATCAACCCAAATAGATTCTATAACTCCAGTATCCATTTAAATATTTATAGATACACAAGATGCCAACAATTTTTATACGGTTTATGGTTTTTTCTGATGATTTCAGTGAAAATTATTTGAATAAATCCCATATGAACATTTTAAAATTCAGAGACACTTGGTTACAAAATGCATATGTGTATACACAGCAAGTGCTGTGGGTCCCCAATGTAGAAGCATTGTTGCCCTGAATGATGATGATTACGTTTGTTATGGTAAAAAGGGTCGGAGGTTCTGAGGTCATGACAGGGGTTAAAGGATTAACATGTGACAATAAGTATCAGTCAGGAAAATGGAAAAGTAGAACTAATTTTTCTTGCACCCACCTGTGCTTTCTGTCAAATAAAAACTTGCAGTAATGACATAGTGAGGAGAAGAGACAAAGGTTAATGAGTAACACAAGTTCAAATGTGTAATGTATTGGAGCGTAAATTGGATCATACAACCCGGTGTGGCTGGGTGAACTAACAAAGGAGGTTGAGATCACAGTGGAAAATTTTGGGAGGCAGGCAACTTAATTTCTGTTGTTTGAACAGCTTAAAACTGTTAATGCATGCCAATTTTATTTAGCATAAGTTTTGTTTGCAAGAAGCAATTTTGAATGACAAAACTGCAACCAAAGGGCCATAAGAGTTCTAAACAGTTTTTCTATAACTTAATCTTTCACATCCATGTTACAAAGAAAAGATCAGTGATACTTGCTTTCTTGTTCTTAAAATACAATAGATGAGAAAGCAATAACAGTTAAACTACGTTATAATTGTATGAAGTTTGATGTTGACAGGTGTTTAAAAATTATGAAAGTCTTTTATTACTTAGGTCCTAGTGAAAATGCTTTGCTTTAAGGAATTATACAATTTAAGTGTTATACTTGCTATATTTAGTGTGTGTGTGTGTGTGTGTGTGTGTGTGTGTGTGTGTGTGGAGGGGGAGAGAGAGAATGCACTATATCCTTACCATTAAAAAGTTTACACTTTTATTGCACATGGAAAAGAGAAAGTAGGGATTTCACTAAATTACAATCTTTTCAAAAGTCTATTCTAATGGAATTATGAAAATAGTCCCACTTAAAGAATTTCAAGGTCTGCAGTTATTTGAAATTTTATTTTCTTTTTCAGGCAGAAATTTAAACTTTTAATACTTGGTTTTTAAGAAGTAGAAAAAATTTCAGTGAAGCTGAAAAAACATTTTGAGAAACATAAAAATAAATAAATGACCCATGAAGGTCTAAGAGGCAGAAAGTGTCTGTCAGTTCTATTAATTCACAGTGGTGGCCCGAGAGAAACACGTTTTGTGAATCTAGCTCACAGATAAAAAGAAAGGTCAGAGTTCACAGAGCTAGTTTATCGCAAATGGTTCTCATGGATTTTTGTTTTCCCTCAGGTTTTCTGGGTTCATTGTTTAAATGGCCTCTTCCACTCAGTTATTCTGTTTTGGTTTCCACTAAAAGCCCTTCAGTATGGTAAGTAGAAAGGATATGCATGCTAAGAGATGACTTTTTACTTGTTTAGAAAAATAATTCATTGTCAATATACGTTAAAAATTATAGCAGTGTTTCGTGTTATGGTGTTTTTCCTTAACCTAAAATACATGCATCTAAACGTTGTACACACTTTAAAGATTTTTACTGTTCCTTTGGGAGCAAAGTGATTTAATATATGCAAAGCCTTTCTTCTCTACTTCTCATGTTTTCCAGTCTTGCAGAGAATTAAATTTTAGGGCTCTTTTTTTTCCTCTGTTGATGTACAGTTTGAAGACAATAGTGCTAATATTTTATGTGATCTATTTATTATACCTGTGAGGCTTGTATCAACTCTTTATACTGAACCTAATCAGACATGCTAGTACTTTCAAGTACTTGAGCCCGAGCTTTAAATGAGATTTTTAATATGTTTTTAAGTTCGTCTTGGAGTGTAAACTTTTCTCTGCTTGCTTTGAGGGGGTGATGTTATTCTGTCAGTTTTGAGATAGGCTTATGGTGAATTTCCTCTACACATAAAAATGATTAAGTAGCCACTTTAGAAAAGAGGTCTCTGGGATGCTTAAGCTGGTGCTACTGTGTCCGGAGCAGAACTTGCCCTGAGATCCTGAGGAAGCTGGCTGACCATTCAGCTCTCGAACTACAGTGCTTCAAACATGACACCTCCACCCAAGGATCTGTGCATCCTTTAGAGGTACTGGCCGTCCTCTCAGCCTGTGAGTTAACGCTGGCCCATGAAATGCAGTGCCAGATGTTCTATCCCACCTACAGAGGGATCCTTGTAAAACGTAAATCAGACCAGGTGGCTCCCTCCGCAAAACCCCACAGGCTCTATCACATTTAGAAAGAAATCCACAGCCCCAGCCTTGGCTAACCACACCCGACTCTCCTTCCCCAGCCCGCTCTCCCCCTCCCCGTGCTCCAGACCGCAGGCCCTTGTGTTCTTCCTCATCTTCACCAGATGTTCCAGCTGCTCCCTCCCGCCCTCGGGTCTGTGCTCGGAGAGGCCCTCCCGGATCACCCTGCCTCAGAGACCCACCAACCCCACCCCTGCTGCCCCCCCTCCCCATCCTCCTGTATCCTCTTCATGGTGCTTGCCTATCGGGTGTGATATATTTGCTTTTTTTTTTTTTTTTTCATTGTATATTCTTACACCCTTTATCAAAGATAAGGTGACCATATGTGCATGGGTTTATCTCTGGGCTATACTGTTCCATTGAGCTATATTTCTGTTTTTGTGCCAGTACCATACTGTCTTTTTTTTTTTTTTTTTATAACTATCATTCTCCTCTGTTAGAATCAAAGCTCCAGAAGGGCAGGGAACTGTCCATTTAGTTCACTGTTTTTTTCGTAGTGCCTAGAACAGTGCCAGGCTCACCGTCGGCACCCAGTCCATTGTGGAGAAGTTCATGAGAGCATGAGTGGGAGGGTGTGAGTGTCACAGAGAAGGCAGTACTTTCATGTCCTAGTCGGAGATTTTCATCTCATTCCTTTATTAACTACTCTGACAGTCCAACAGTGAATACTTCTCGTTTTCTAGGCCATAGAAATAAGTGTGGTAAGAAGATCTAATTAAATATAAAATATTGACCCAGTGGGCCAGGAGAATCACAGTGGCATTTTTTTTTTAGATAAAATTTACATACCATAAAATTCACCCTTTTAAATTGTACAATTCAGTGGTTTCTAGTATGTTCACAGAATTGTGCCAATGTCCCCACTTTCTGATGCCAGAACATTTTCATCACCCCATTCCCATGAGCAGTCACTCCTCATTTCCCCTCCCCCTCCCCCAGCCCCTGGCAACCACTGATTTTTGTCTCTGTGGTTTGCCTATTCTGGACATTGCATATAAATGGAATCATAATATGTGACCTTAGCTCATCATTGTTGCAGCATGAATCAGTACTTCATTCCTTTTTATGGGTGAATAATATTTCATTGTATGTATAGACCACATTTTGTTTATCCATTCATCAGCTGATGGACATTTGGATTGCTTTCACTTAGGGGAGCCATAGGGTGTTGAAATCTAGGGTACGATACAGGACTTTAGACAAGTTCTCCAGGTAGTTTATTTTCATAACACAAAATCAGTGTAGGTATGAAAAACTAGGAATGTCCATCTATGAAACTGCTACTTTAGTGTTCTAAATCAGAAAAAAAAAGAAACTTAATATCAAAAGTAGCTCAAACCAAGCAGCATCCAAATCACCTTACCAATCCAAAACACTTTAGCAGTGACAGGGTTTGAAAGGAATTCCTAAGTAATTCCAACCCCAGAAGACCAGCCCCAGAAGAGTCTCCCTTTGCATTTGTCTGGGGAACCCAAATCCAGCCAAGTCCAGACAACGTGCTTTCTCTTCTTAAGAGATAATAACATATAGCATAAATTATGTTTTAACATTCTTCTTTTTTTGTCTTGTTTTTATTTTTACATAAGGAGTTTTTATTTTCTTTAGCGTTTGAAAGGATGGGGTACAGAAGAAATAGAAATAACTATGTAATGTATGGCTAAATATTCATTCATTCACTTGCTTCAGCGTTTCTCAAAATATGGTCACCTGAGAATACTCAAGACCTTTTCAGGTCCATGAATGAGGTCAAAATTTAATAGTTTCAAACTTTTTATATTATCAAGACATTATTTGTCTTTTTCATTGCTGGTGCAAGAGGAATAGTGGGTAAAATTGCTGGTACCTTGACACAAACAGGGGTACAATTGTATTAGTAGTCATTCTTCACTGCCATGCACCCACGTTAAAAAAAAAACCCCAGAAAGCGATTTCACTTAAGAATGCCCTTGAAGAAGCTGTAAACCTAATACTTTTATTAAATCCTGAAACTCGATACACATCTTATGAATATTCTGTGTGACAAAATGGGAAGTATGCGTAAAGCACTTCGGCTGCATACCAACATGCAGCAGCTTTATCAAGGTAGAGTGTCTTGGGGCTTGTTTGAGTTGTGTGAGCTTAGCCAGCTACTTCCATGAGGTTACAGAATCGTGCGTAAGTAAAAGATCCATTCAAAATGCAAAATGGACCAATGGATTTTTTTTCAGGTTAGGTGTATTGTTTTTTTATTGTAACATGGGTTTATAGCATTATGTAAGCTTTGTGTGTACAACAGTATGTCTCTACTTCAATATGCACGACAGCATGCTTCCCACCAAAACAGTTTCAGATTCCACACTGCTACTGACCTTTAGGAAACTATCTCCGCCACTGTGAGAAACTTCTTGAGTTTTAAAGTAGTATCAAGGAATAACCACAATTATTAGAAAAGATTGCTAAAATACTTCTCTCCTTTATAACTCCATCTCTCTGTGAGTTTGGATTTCCCTCATATATGTCAACCAAAACAATATGAGAATCCAGCTCTATTAACCCAGACATTAAAGAGATTGTAAAAATGTAAAACAGTGCCAATTTTCTCACTAATTTTTTTGTTTGGGAGAATAGTTATGTTTCATAAAATCTGTCTGTATGTTACATATATAGGGTATATTACTGTTAGGTAAATCAATACAAAGTTTTAAAATTTCTGTCTTAATTTCTAATTTGGTAAATATTGGTAGATGTAAACCACATAAACAAAAGCTTTGAGGGATTCTTAATAATTTTTAAGAGTGTGAAGGGGTCCAGAGACCGGAAAGTTTTAGCACGAATAATTTACCTAAATCATCCAAATGCCAAACCTGATAAACGCAACAACAGGCTTTTAACTTTTTTCCTCGATTCGACTTTGAAATGAATCTCCAGCTTATGACAAACCAGTGATGACTAGAAGGTTTAGTTGGACCCAACTACGATTATTTTTGATAACTTGCTTATATTGATTAAGGGACCTAACCAATGTGCCACATAGCAGAAGTATGGAAGTCTAGAAGTAATCACAAAATGCTTTCAGTTATTTTGTAGATTTTCGTTTGTTAACTTGGTTCTATGAAAGTTCACAGATTAATTGCAGGCATTTATGTCTGTCCACAACATACCCATAAGACATGTTAGCATGTCAGATCCTGTGTCCTTCATCATGGGATACTCCATAGAGAAAGGTAGTCTCCTAGGTTTCTGGGCTGCCCCTTAAGCAGCGCTTCGTGGCTACTTTTATCTGAAAACCTTAGAGGGGAGGCAGGGTCACACTGTGGAGCATGGCTGGGTGCTTTATATATTTAACTTATTGTAATCTCAAAGCTCCTCCAAAGTAGGGAGTTTCACTCAATCTTTTAAGTGAAGAAACTGAATTCCATGGAGATTGATTATAAATAAACCAAGATGACACAACTTGTAACAGAACCTCACCTGGTCTGTATGTCCAAAGCTCACCTGGCTCTCCTTGTTTCTTCATACCAGCACCATGCTCCGTGTCTCCTCTCAGTTTACTCTAACATATTTTGTACTTCCATCTTAGGCTTTGAATACATATTGTCAAATATGTGCATAAGTAAACTACTGTATGACACATACCATGGGTTTAAAATTTTTCAATGGTACCAATGATTAAATTATTGTTATTTTTTAATTTTTCATTTGATTTTTTTAATCAGTAATAGTGATTTTGGTTTGTCAGTACGACTCCCTTCATCTAAAGCCATGTTTGTTAGTCATTGCTAGAAAAACAAAATACCTTTAGATGTACCCCTGAATTCAGCCAGATCCTCAAAGAGGCATGTGCCTGGAATTATATTGGTGCTCCCCAGCCCTCTGTAAGTTGCTTTTTTGGTCCAATGGCAACAATTTTGAGAGATAGTAAGAAGGCTCCCTAAAGCCCTCATCTATACTGTTAACAAAGTTCTTTTTTAAGGGTTCAGAATGTCTTCTGTCTTACTGCCCATAGCATTAAGCTCCACTTGAATGATTTTTCTTTTTTTTTTAATCACACGAACCCTGAGAATTGGTTAAGTCCAGTTTCCTTCTTCACGTTGACTGTTGGAAATTTGATTTTCATTTGTGACCCATGTTAAGCAACTTTATGAGACTTCATACGGTGTTTTGTTAAATTAGCCTCGTTTCTGGCTCCATTGTATGGCTCTTGGTTCCCCTTCTTTTGTTCAGCACTCCTAAATTGACTTGTCTTTGAAAGGATTCTGAAAGGACCTCAATTATTTTCAGTTCTAGCAAGTCTCTCTTCTTTTCATGCAGGTACTGTATTTGGAAATGGGAAGACCTCTGATTACCTGCTGTTGGGAAACTTCGTTTACACTGTGAGTGTGGAACATTTGTCTCGTTTGCGTATAAAATTGAATTTTCATATGAGCTCATTTTCAAATTTAAATGTGTGCATTTCTGGATCTAAGGGTTGTTTACACTTCCTCTTAAAAATGAAATGAGATGTTTCAACTAGTAAGAAATTATTTTATATTAGGGTATAAAAATGTCATTTAGGTTCACTGACTTTATAGGCCTTTGGTTGCTCTTATTTTCAATATTCCTTCTTTACACTTATTGTCTCACTTTCCCTTTCTCTCTTCCTTGTCCCTTCTTCCTCAGTTTTATTTTACTGCCCTTGTTCATATTTTTTTTGCTTTCCTAAATTTATGGCAAATAGTACCATTCTACTTGGGTGTTTAACCAATAATTATTCTAGAACTTAATGAAAATAAAGTTGGGAGAGAAATCTCCGCTCTTTTGGGACATTTAACCCACACAAGGCATGGACCTCGCTGTGTTAAGTCACTGTGTCCAACACTTACGGAGGATGCACAGTTGAGTCTGAGCTGCACCCTGCCATTAAAGAACCAAAAAAAGTTTTAAAACCATTTTTCCCTCTAAGGTCAAAAGCTCCACTTGGATGCAAATGCTCAAGGTCACACAGTTAGTCTCTAATAAAAGTTTACTCCAACCTTGAACCCTGAACTCTCCAGCCAGTGTCCTTTCCTCTCCATGGCCCCCAAGTCGGGGCAGTGCACTGTCCTAAATACTAAGTGGCCATTGGTACGGCTGACTCGGTGGAAAAACTATAATACAATGTTTAAATAACTGAATAATAGGAAGTTAAGACCATTAAGTAACAGAGGGATTAAGGTTTTGGCAAATCGAGGCTCTCCTTTCCATTGACCTCAATGAAGTAGTAAAAACAAAAAAAAAAAAAAAGGGAAAAAACACGTTTCGGGGGCTAGTGGTTTGTTCTCGTACAACACGAGTGCAAAACAGAAATAATACTTGATGGACTAAGTTTAGAAATAAAGTAGATGTCGTAGATGTCTCTGAGGGAATTTAAAGTATCCAAGGCTTAAGAGAGAGTGTTTCTTTAACTTTGTGTCAAAATCTCTCTCTTGTTTTAGAATTTTTTATATAGCTTAAACACTTAAATTTTAACAAGAGTTTGATTTCTACAGATATTTATCCTAAATTGCTATTAGATATCCCGCTGAGAAAGCTCAAATGCTTCACTTTGTCCTGACTTTATGACGCCACTGGAAAGCATCTAATACTGTGTACAAACCCTTACAGTGCCCAAAAGTAGGACTGTGCCCTTGAAGCTCTCACCACTGATCACCAGTGCTAGGCAAGCGTCACACTTCCATCCCGGCAAACAACTGAAAGTGCCCCAAATTCCTTTGGCTACTAACAGTATTTAATATTTTTTATTATAAATAGATAATAATAGATAATGCTGCAGTGCTAAGCACTGTTCTTGGTGTTTTACCTATAGAGTAGGTAAGCTTTATCAGTCCCAGTTTACAGATGAAGGAGCTGAGACACAGAGAGGTCAAGTAATTTGCCTTGTGCCTTATCAGAACAGTTAATAAATGATGGAGTCTTGAGCACAAATAGTCTGACTCCAGGGCAATATAGTCTGACTCCATTTAGCCATTATGCTATCCTATGGAAAACATAGTGCAGTTCATTAAACCCGGGTCCCCCTACTTTAGAATTAGTAGCATGGGCACCAGTGACAATGGGTGTGTACAGCATGGAGATGTAATAGGCTCTTACATTCTACTCTGCAGGGTTTCAGGTAAGTAAAGTTACAGAGTAAGTGTTCAGATTTCTAAATATCCAGTTATATTACTTTTACAATTTATCTTTAAAATTTAGAAAATGGAGGCTTTAAGTACTACAGTTGATAAAAAATAAAATTAAAGCAGGCTTGGAAACCCAAGATTACTATAGATGATTCTCCATCACTATTCATGAATTGTAGACGAAGTAGCCAGATGCTCAGAAGCTCATGGCTGGACTGTCAGCCAGTGAGGGGAAGGCAGGGAAGGGAGTCGGGAATGTGATGCTGTAAATGGCGCTTCCAACCGGTCGTGATCATGATGTTCAGCCACCCAGCTAACTCACTTGTTTCTTTGCTTGTTGGACGTACAAGTCAAGCTGTGAATAATCTACCAGTCCAATTTGATGAACTGTCATATTTATGAAATAAAATAACATTTCCCTTCTGCTTTAGTTTGTGGTGATAACTGTGTGTTTGAAAGCTGGATTGGAGACATCATATTGGACCTGGGTAAGAGAATCTTTAGTCACAACCAAGGAATATCACATTTACTTATGTGTCATCACTAATTTTTGTTGCTGTTTTTCATTCTAACTGCATGTGTCCCTTTACCCTAGTTCCACAGGTTGTTAATTATAGTGGTGGGGAGCAATCAGGAATGGACTGGAGGGAACTGGAGACTCTAGTGTGGAAACACTGAGTAAAACTTAAATAAGTTTATTTACCACAAGACTTCTCAAGAGCCCTTAATATATTGTTGTACATTGTAAATATCCCTGGGAGGGAGGCAGCCTTCAAACTTATTGACTAGGAATCTTTTCTTAGTAGAGTGTGTCACAAGACTGGCAGAAAACTCATTGGAAAATGATTCTGAAGACCAAAAATATCAGAGAAAGATTTGTCCTCAGACATTTGTAGATATCCAGTCTGAATAAAACAAGTTCCATTTTAGATATGTTAGTACTGAAGTATATTCACATCCAGGTAGAGAGACCCAATAAATATAAAGAAAGTTAGATGCTCAAGGGAAAGATGGTCACAAGAAGTTTGGATTTGACAGTCATCAACACAGAGATTAATATTCACACAAGTGTCTTAGCATCTTTCAGTGAGAGCATATGGAGCAAAAACTAAGGAGGCTTAAAGATGGTAGTGGATAAAAAAGGTAAGAGTGAAAGGTGAGACCCACCAAAGGGGTAGAGAAGGAACGGTTCTACATGCCAGTACCACCAGCATTATAACCGATGTGGAAGAGATGAGTGTTTAATGAAAGATCCAATTAAAACATGCAATTATTTAGTTAATAATTGCCATAGGTAATATCTTATGGATGTAGTAAAGAAATTAATAAGGAAATTTTTGAAAGCTTCATCAGTGTGGGAGTCCTCCATCTACCTGAAAGTCCTTTAACTCAGATTCTCTTCCTTCACAGTTCAGCCACGTAGCGATCTGGGGCAGCATCGCACTCTGGGTGGTGTTTTTTGGAATCTACTCATCTCTGTGGCCTGCTGTCCCCATGGCTCCTGATATGTCAGGAGAGGTAATGTATCCTAATCACTCATGATGTAACAAACGCTAAAACTTGGTATTCATTAATGAGCCATAATTACTTGGCTTGGGTTTATATTAAAATAGTATTCGTCAATTTTAAAAGCTATTTTTAAACTCCACAGCTGTGAGTATAAAAATTGAGAGAATATTTTAAACTTGGACGTTTTACTTAAATATGACTTATCCTTTCGTAAGCATAGCTGGGTTAATAAAATGTGGTTGTCGGGAGCTTGAATCATGTTAAGAATATCCATGTAGGTCTTCCCTGGTGGCGCAGTGGTTGGGAGTCCGCCTGCCGATGCAGGGGACACGGGTTTGTGCCCCGGTCTGGGAAGATCCCACCTGCCGCGGAGTGGCTGGGCCAGTGAGCCATGGCCACTGAGCCCGCGCGTCCTGAGCCTGTGCTCCGCAACGGGAGAGGCCACAGCAGTGAGAGGCCCGCGTACCGCAAAATAAAAAAAATAAAAAAAAAAAAAAGAATATCCGTATAGAGGATGCCATTTTAAAATTAAACCATCAATCCACGCATACTTTTTGAACAAGAGATTTGGGGAAATGGTGAGCTTATGTCTTGGGACAGTCTGTCTTTTTCTTTGTTGTTATCTCTTATTCTAAAGAAAAGGCTACTGTCACTAGATTAAATGCACTTTTAGAGTTGTCTTAATGACATCAGTTCGGTTTTCATTTTGAATGAGTTAGGATATCTGACATTTCAGCCTTATCATGGTCCACTTTCACTTCCATCTGTCACTTTCTTGTTACACTGGTAGGAACTGAGTTATTAGGTGTTCGTGGGAGAGTGTCACGAGATCTCCTTTCGTTCAGAAGAGATTCCAGCAGTAGGAGGGTGTATGATTTCAATTGCAGGAAATTTGACATAAAATGTATAAAAGAAAATGTGGAAAACATTTCAGGATTTCCTGTGACCTCACAGTAACTTGCAAATCAAGGTAATGTGAGCTCCGTTACAGTACATTGTTTTCCTGCAGTCACAGGAAACCTTTCCAGGGGTTTCCATTATTTGTTTCCCTAAGTACTGCCTGAGTACCTTTCACTTTTGACAGTCTGGTTTATAGATCATGTTCATGAAATTTTATCTGACAGCATCCTGCTTTTTATAAATTAGCAGAATGCAGACACATTAAAAAAACAATTTTGTGGTTAAATTTATTAGAGAGAGGCATTACATACTATTACAGCAAAACCAGACATATCAAGGAGCATATGTACTTCCTTCCACCCAAAGGCAAGGCTTCTTCTAAAACATGTACTGTGAACTTGAGAAAATTTACAGCATATATTTTGAGGAGAACAGAGAGAAAGCTGTGAATGCATCTCCTCCTTCCCTTGGTTTGAGTCCTTTTTTCCTGAAGAAATAAAAATCAAAGACTGTGTATGTCTGCTGATGCCACTTGGAAATTCCAATTCTATTCTTTGTTTTTATTTGATGTGTGCTGTCCGATTCGACCTGCTATTCCCCCAAGGTCAATTCTAACTTAATATCTTTTTCATTAGACCTCATTTTACCTCATGTCCGAATATTTTATCTTCAAAATGAGTGACACAAAAGATTTTGAAATCGAGATAGTTTGAGCAGCTGTAGCCAATCGCTTTGAAGACAAGAACAGAGTTTTTGACCACCTACTTCTAGGACAAGTGTGAAGTTTGACTGGCTTTTAGCCAACCAAATATAATTCTACCCTTGCCTGTAGAATTCCTGGTATTACCCAAACACAAAACTTAATATCATCTCTTGAGATTTGCGGTGATGCTGTGTTTAATTCAAAGTGAAATGGATGTCAGTACCCCATCACATTTCTGTTCACTTCATATACAGTGCGAAGTGCTAACAGGGCTTCTTTTTCTTGTTGTTTTATTGCTACTGATACTTTAAATATAATGTTTAAATAGCTGGTGCTCCATCGAAAATAGGAAGAATGGATTAATTCAGCTGTAGGCTTGGCTGGTTGTCCAAAATGTAAATCTGTTTAATGTATTTAAAGAAAAGAATAATAATTTAAATTTATTTAGTACTTACTGTTTGCAAAGCATCTTGGTATGCATGTGTGTGTAAATGAGCCTCACAACAACTGCAAAAAAGGAAGATAACAAGAACACCACTCACATTCCCAAGGAGTGATAGTCTACGTTTACTGTTTCCTAGGCACCAGGGTTTTAGGACCCAAAAATGTTGTGGCAGTACTCAATTTTTGAACATTTTTATTGTGCATAGTCACTAGTTCTATTACAATCCAGTTAATTTCAGAAAGAAATAACTACCCTTAGATTTACATTTTTTAATCTTAAAATTCTATGTTTCAGTCAAGAATATAGCCAAATACATATATGTGAAACATTCATTTATGTGCCAATAGTTATATCTGTGTGTGTGTGTGTGTGTGTGTGTGTGTGTGTGTGTGTGTATATGTATGTATCTATATAATTGGCCAACCATCCTGAATAAAACTTACCTGTTCATCTGTTAACTTTCATAACAATATACTATTATAATATATTTTACATATATATTATTATATATTACATGTAGTAATATAGTGTTGTAAATAACACCAGGATAAGTACAAATATTAGCATTCCCGGACCTGACATGCTTTATGTAATCCGTGTAATGAAACACAGCACAAGGCATCCCCCAGAACATAACGCTATTCCAAAGCATTCCTGGTGTGGTGAAGGCAACTTTCTGTCACCACCACCGGGGTCATGAGTGTCTAATCCAAGGACCATACCCCTAGGACTCCAGTTTTTTCCTGTATTGGTTTGGCAGCAGTTCCTTCCAAAACTAAATAATTAAATATGTCTGTATGTTTGGGTTGTCTAAAGGCGTAATAAGGGCGCCCAGCTTAGTACAGCATTAATAGAGATGGGTAGGCAAGACTGAAAATAGCAGCCGCATTCCCCCCATCCTGGTTCAGGTGATATTTTGGAGAATGAGGTACTGTGTGGTTTTAAAAGGCATTCACACAATAGAGAAGTTCTTCAAAAAGACAGCCAAGATCTGGGGAAAATAACACCAAAAATACCTAAGGTATATTGAACACTTTAAGTACCTGATGTGCATTCATTCAATCGATTTAACAATTATTTGTTGAGATTCTTCTGTGGGTCAGGCACTGTGTATTCATTAGTGAATAAATAAACAAAAGTCCATGACCTTCTCAACTTTCTACTGAAAGGAGACAGGCAAATAAAATAATTAAGTGAAATATATAGACCGATGTAAGTGCTGTAGAGAACACAGCAGGCAAGAGAAACCGAGAACCATGATTTCCATTGCTTCCCATAGCGCCTTGTGGCTTTTACTCACGGTCAAATAAAAGAGCCATTGGAGGGGCTTGAGAGAGGCGTGTCATGGTCTGACTTATGTTCTCACAGCAGGACTATGACTGCTGTGTTATGAACCACTTAGGAGATCATTGCAGTAACCCAGGCCAGAGGTAACAGTGGCTTGGGCCAGGAGGGCGGCAGTGGTGAAAGTGGTCAGAGTCTGAATCTAGTTTGAAGGTAGCGTTAACAGGATTTGCTGACAGATTGGACGTGAGGAGTGAGAGGAAAAGAAGTCAAGGTGGATGCCATCGTGTTGGCCGTGACCTTCAGGACGTGCTTGTCCTCAGCTCACTGGATCCTCCCAGCAAACTTGTTACCATACCTGTTTTACAGGTGAGAAAACAGAGGCATAGAGAAGTTAAGTACCTCATCTGATACCCCACTGGTACTAAGTGACAGAGGTACGCTTTGACTTAGCTGTGTGGTCCCAGGGTCAGCTACCTTATACACTGCCCGGTGCTGCTTCTCTTTGAATTGTAGTTATTCAAAGGATTCTGCAGTGTATAATCTGGAAATTAGAAGTCTGAAGGGACTGCCCCTGGCAGGTATTTCAAGGATTTGTGTGGACAAGGGAATCTCTGTTTTCTTTTTCCTGACAGCACTGGTTCCCCCACGCCTCTTGCCCCTGTGGACATGTCGGTGGTCCTGGTCTTCCTCCCTCCATCCTCTACACCCTATAGCCGCTGTGCCAGAATGATCACCCTCCTCCTCACGTGTCCACTGCCCCTTCGTGTCTTTACTGGTTGCTCTGACAAAATGGCCTCAGGCTCCTAGTGCCCCATAAATGTTTAGTAAAAGATCGTGAAGTAAGTTTGTTTTCCTTGCTTGCTGTTGGTGGTTTTTTTTTTTTAACATCTTTATTGGAGTATAATTGCTTTACAATGGTGTGTCAGTTTCTGCTGTATAACAAGGTGAATCAGCTATCCATATACATATATCCCCATATCTCCTCCCTCTTGCGTCTCCCTCCCACCCTCCCTATCTCACCCCTCTAGGTGGTCCCAAAGCACCCAGCTGATCTCCCTGTGCTGATCTCCCTGTGCTATGCAGCTGCTTCCCACTAGCTATGGATTTTACATGTGGTAGTGTATATATGTCCATGCCACTCTCTCACTTCATCCCAGCTTCCCCTTCCCCTTCCCCGTGTCCTCAAATCCATTCTCTATGTCTGCGTCTTGTTTTGCACAAACACGTGAGAAATGATAGAGTAGAGGTGACATAGACGCAGAGTTCAGCTCAGATAAGAACATCTTGCTAACATCCAGAGATTTCCCCAACATGGCACTTTCCAGCAGCAGAACAGAATGCTGGTCTCATGTAACCAGCCCCAGTATCGGGCAGTAGTGCTACTCAGCGGAGCCTTGCTCATCTGCACCTGCGAAGTTGCTTCCAACTCCTAGGATTTAGATTTTCTGTGGACTTCTCTTCACTGTGTTCTCTCCAGAGGAGTATCTTAAATGTTGAAGGGCACAGACTCTTCTGCTCTAGTTAATGTCAACTGGAACTCAGGGTGCAAATTATACACAAGTTAGGCAACTTACAGGTACGGATCTCATGCTTCTGTATTCAGCTTGGACGCATATTCATACGTAGATCAGGATTTTACAGTCATTTCCAATTTATGTCCTTGATTTGTCTTTG